TAGGTAGCTGATATTCATACTCCTAATTTTATTATTTTATACTGCCATAGATTAATTTTTTTTTTAACTTTGAGTAATGATATTCTGACAACTACCAAGCCAATTTGATGAATTTTTTTTATTTGATTTTTATAGCTTTGTAAAATTAAAATAAAAAAATCTATCAATTTTGGCTTGGTGGTTGTTAAGATAACTTCACTTAAAGTTAAAAAAAATTAATCTACAGGGGGTATGAATAACAACATTGGGTATAAATATAGCCACCTTATTATATAATGATATTTAAAATAAACTTGATCACCAATCAGTTTTAAAAGGACTAGTCTATAGCTGTCTTTTTCAGTTCATAATATTTCTATCTAAAGTTTCTATAGATATATATTTAATCACTATCCAGTCATGTTTTTGAACTTGAACAGAATTTAAGTGACTATAATTATAAGACTACAAACTATATAATACAATTTATTTGCTTGTTTAATTTTGGGGGATAGCTAACCTGGAGGGAGTTATGTTAAACAACTAATTAACTTTGAACAGCCTAAATACTAATCTAACTCCAAAAAATACTAATGAAAACACCCAAAAATTTTTAAATTTTCATATCAAAATAGGTCCAAATTTTAGCTTCAGCTGCAACAATTATTGATTGTATGATTAAATATGAATTAAGTAACTGAAAACTCAATACAAATATAATTTTTTGCTTGCTATATCGATATTTACTAAAATTATTATTTGAAAATAACAACATATCATAAGCAATATACTGCTAAACAGAGAACCCATGCCTACTAAATACTATCCACTATTTTCATGGTTTGCAAAATGACAAGTAGATTTTATAAATTGTGGCCCATATAAAAAATTGTTTAATTATTATTTGATTGCACGATTGAAAGTGTATTTCTTAACCAAGAACTCAATGTAAATATAATTTTTGCTTGCCATATTGATATTTACTTAAATCATTGTTTGCAAATAACTACAAATTACAAATCATTTACTGTTAAATGGGAACCTGCGCACTACTGAATTTATAAATCTACTCAGTGCATAAAATTGGCATACACAAGACGTACATATGCAAAAATTTATACTTAAATTAATCATAGTATATTAATTTGTGCCATTAACATATTTATTAGCAATACTTCATTAGATTATAAATAAGCTACAAAAAATAAATTAGTGAAGTAAACCTTTTAAAAATAATTACCAAAATTAAATAAATCTATAATTTATATTTATAATTATTGGCAAATTGATCTGTGTAAGAATTTCTCTTATCTACCTTCTGAATTACATCAATATTTATGTTGTAGAACTGAAGAGTACTTCCAAATTTTTATTTCATAACCCCTATGAATTTACATTTATATTGTGCTTACTGTTTTTAACAAAACTATTTTTGGCAAATGGCAAAAGTCAAAACTAGTAAAACTTTGGTGAAATGTCAAAACTATGGCAAAATAATGAAACTCTGGCAAAACCTCAATAAAGCTAAAACCTCTGAAGAAAGTTAAACACAGTGAAAATCAAATTCTCTTAAACTTTAGAAAAACTAATGCTAAGCAATGTTAGTAAATTAAAATATTTTTTGTATGCCGATTAAGCACAGTATGTAATTTATAATATACAAAAACAATAAACAAAGAGATAGCCTTTTGTTTTTATTCAAGTACTATTAAAAAAAAACTAGACTTCAGGCTTTGAACTTATAATAAATAAATTTAGTTTTGAAATTCAAAGCATGAAATCCTGCTTTCTTTTAATAACACTATCTATATATTAATATTATTTATATAAATAAACTTATCTAAATATTTAAATAATTTATTGATATAGTGTTAAGATTTTTTTTTAACATTTATTGTTAAAATTTTATTAAATATTATATATATAAGTAATTTGTTAATAATATTATTATTGACAATTATTTTCTGATGCTCTATTCTAAATTTCAGAGCTAACTTTAAAGAAATAACTGTTGTATTATTGACTTATAATAGATTAAATATAGTAATATTTAGATTATTAATCAAAAAACATATATATAGCAACATGATTATACACATATACATAACAAAATAAATTTGTATTAGGTTGTAATTAAATATTAGGTTGGGTAAAAGGGCTATGGGTTAAAATCATGACAAGCAAAATCCTACAGGCTATAATTCTGACAAAAAATTCTGACAGCCAAAAAATTGACAATTAAAAATCTGACAATTATGAAAATAAGATAATTCTTATTTAAAGTGACCTAACACTAAAGTTAATTAAATTATAAATGGTTACTTCACTTTAAACATACTCCATATTCAGGATTTTTGATTGCTGAGATCAGAATTTTTTTGTTAAGATTATAACAAGTCTATGCTAGAAGTAGTAATTATATTTGAGTATCACTAAAAGAAAACCCAAACATTTAAATATAAATCAAATTTAAATTTTCAGGTTTTCACTTAGTGATACGCATTTATTCTAAAATCCAAACTAAGCATCTGTAGGTAGGTATTTAGATAGTAACATTAATAATAAGATTGATAATTAGATAAAAAGATTTTAATTTTTTTAAATTAGTTTACAATTCTTGTTTCTTTACTAGTTTTTTTTTTAATTTTTTTTACTAATTTTATTATTTTTTCAGTTTTTCACTTTTAGCAGTTTTGTCGGTTTTGCCAGTTTTGGCATTTTGCCATTTTAAATTTTTTTTTTTGACAAAAGTCAAAACTAGTTTTGACTTTTGTCAATGGCAAAATCTCTAGGTTTTGCCTAACAACACTAGTTGTGCCTCAGATGTTGATTTGCTTCAGGTGCCAATTTTTTGACCAGCATTAACTGATTGATATTGATTGGCCTAAATTTAGTGATGATATCTGGGTCAGATATTATCTGGGTCAGATATTATCTGGGTTATCTGCAGATAATCAGATATCCGGGTTGTATACTCAGCTACTCGGATAAACATTCTTAGATAATATCTGAGTAGATATACCAGGAAAATACCCAGATAGATAAACACAAAGCACTGCTATTTTCATAATTTCTGGAACACCTGATAAAAATTGACCAAATGGTACTCCAGCTGATTCTATTAAGTTTGTAATTAATTTAATAAAAATATAAAATTGTATATATGCACATAAGTATATACATACATAACTTTTATATTAGCAATTAAATAAAGTGAAAGTTTTACCAGCACTACTAAACTTTATATGTTAGCTTTATGAAGTTTTTGGCCAACGCTATTTATATACAAATATTATATGCCAGAAACTTATATGTAAAATTATGCAAATTTCTACCCTATATATAAAGCCATGATACTAGTTCTGCAGATAATTTTAAATGCTAATATGTTTAGTATTATTAAATTTTCATTTGAACACTTGCCCAACAGCTTAGTTTGTGCGAAAACATATATATATAATCAAATTACAATGTATATGTATGTAACGTAATTTAGATCGTAACAATCAGCCAAATAAATGACTTAATCAGAACGGCCGAAAAATCATTTGGTCAATTTTTATCTGGTGTTCCAAGAATTTTGAAAATAGCAATAAATATTTAATTGTTACGAATAATCTCAATTAATCATATTTTGGCAATATAATGGGATGATCTACAAAAATTAGCCAATCGGAATGAAAGCCCGCTGGTACATCAGGTAGAATTTTATACCTGGATATATCTGTCAATCACCTGAGTAACCCGCTGGATATATCCTCGAAGTAGGACCATCCCAAATAAGGAAATGATGATCCTGATCATGCATATTATGTCAGCCAATTAAAATCGTAAATTTTTATCATGTGAAAAATATCACATGTTGATTAGCCAATAAAATCAGAAATTTTTATAAAATGAAAAGAAGTAAAATTTAATTAAAATTTATAGCTAAAGTTCAAAACAAATGCTGTTAAATGTTACTGGTAAATAAGCCGCATGTATTTATTAAGTTAAACTATTTTTTTATAGTATTTAATCCTATTTATTTACAAAGCTTCAATAATAATAATCTATATTTAATTCTATGTCTAATTCTATGTTTAATTCGACATCTAATTCTATGTCTAATTCTACGTCTATTCAAACTTCTAATATATTACACTTACTATCTTTACACAACTATAGCACTAATAAATTCTTTGCAATTTTAACACACATCATATATAAACTTCTTATCGTATTTTAAAAACACCTATAATGATAATAAAGTGCATAGTTAATTAATATTATTCGTGTACTTTCAATTTCCTAAAGGATTTCTATGCAACACGTATAATAAAAAAAATATACGAACTAATTACTTCCTCCTACACTAACGTTATTAATCATTTTAAACTTTTTTTTACCTTTTTTTTTGTTCAACACAAAAGATTTCGTCAACATAGTGATTGCAATTTACTTATAACTTCGGTAGGTAAATTGTAATATGAAGGTCGAATGATTCAAAATGATTCAACTGAAAGTATTATAGTACGGCACGAAAACTTCAAGTTTTTTAGTATACTTGACTGGGTTCATAGAAGAGATAATCTACCCGAGCTTCCGAAAAAAGTATTGTAAAACGTATAAAAAAAAATCATTAATAAATTGTGTAACGATCTACAAACTCGGGCACTCGGGACGTTCCTACCTCGAATTGTAACACATAAAAAAAACTTTAAATCAATTTGAATATCTTGTGTAACAATCAGCAAACTCGGGGCATACTCGGGACGGTCCCTCCTGCTCTCCATGCTCCACCATGATCCCCTGCTATAGGATCCTGTATAGCGATAGGGAGATGTTAAGCCCGGAAGCTCGGATTACACAAAATCTCAAAATTTTTTGGACATGACTAATCTACTAGCGCATAACTGATGAACTTGACCGCAAAGATCAGAAAGACCAGAAGAATAATTTTAATGCCTCAGTTTACTTTTGATTTTTTTAGAGTTATATGACTTTTGACTTTCGGGATTTCGGTTTCACGCTTTGGCACGATGAATTTACCGAAAGTATTTCGGCACGCCAAAATACTTTCGGTAGGAAACCTTAGGCCTGTATTTAAACAATCCCCTATATTGCTTCTGATTCAACCATTACATAACGAAACACACTTCCGGAGTACGTTCAGCTGGAATAAACATCCACTTTCGACTTATTCCCAATCTTTGTACAGTTTAAAATCAAAGTCGCACGCAGCAAATCTCAGCTTAAATTCGTCGGAGGGCTCTGATAGTGGATCGAAAAATAACGGCCAACAGGGAGAAAGTGGCGATGGTGGTGGTAATCAAAATAATTCGAACAGTAATAACAATGCGGATAATCCTGGAAATGGAAATAAAGGTGATGGGTCGGGAAAAGGCGGTGATGGGTCAGGAAAAGGTGGTGATGGGTCAGGAGACAACACTTCTCGATCACCGTTTGAGAATATTCATAGAACTTTGCACATTTTGGAAACAACTTTGCAAAGACCTTCTATACCAGAAGTATATCCGCAAGTTTTGGCACTTCCTATTGCTCGGCGACCTCTTTTCCCTGGATTTTACAAAGCTGTCGTGATTAAAGATCCACATGTCACAGCCGCTGTAAAGGAGTTAATGAAGCGTGGGCAACCTTATGTTGGCGCATTTCTACTTAAAGATGAAGAATTAGATGTAGATACGATTACAGATATTGCACAAGTGTATAAAGTTGGTGTATTTTCCCAAATTACGAGTGTTTTTCCAGCTAACGGTGGTCATGATGAAAATTCATTGACTGCTGTCTTGTATCCTCATCGACGCATTCGTATCAATGAACTATTACCACCTTTACCAGCCAGTGTTTCTGAAGCTGAAATAATTTCACAGCCAGTACAGCAAGCTTCTGAAACGAGCGCTAATAAAGGTATTGTTTGTCATAATAAAGTTCTCTTCATCAGGATTCACTTTTCATTAACTCGACCGCTTTGAACTAATCGGTAGAACCCGAACCACAATACGCTACATCTTTTCTTGAAGATTACAATGTCTCGCTAGCAAACGTTGAAAATCTCAATGATGAACAGTATAATAGAAAAAATCAAGTAATTCGAGCAATAACGTCAGAAATTGTAGCAGTTTTCAAAGATATAGCAACATTGAATCCACTTTTCCGTGATCAAATTGCAAATTTTTCCATGTCTCAAGCTGCTGGTAATGTTTTTGAAGAACCTGCAAAACTTGCTGATTTTGCAGCTGCTGTTTCAACGGGAGAACCAAACGAATTACAAGAAGTCTTAGAAAGTTTGGTTATTGAAGAGCGTTTACAAAAAGCTTTACTTGTTCTAAAAAAAGAACTAGTCAATGCCCAATTACAAAGCAAAATTAGCAAAGAAGTTGAATCTAAAATTGCAAAGCGCCAAAGAGAATACTATTTAATGGAACAATTGAAAGGAATCAAAAAAGAATTAGGAATTGAATCAGATGGCAAGGATAAACTCATTGAAAAGTTCAAAGAAAAGGCAGATAAACTCGCTATGCCTGATAATGTTAAGAAAGTTTTCGATGAGGTAAATTCAATTTATCTTGTACAAAATTTGTATGTGACATAGATTGTTCTTAAATGTTCTGTTCATTCTCAGTCTTTCGTTCATTTCACCAGGAAATCAAATTAAGTAAATTTCTGCAATGTTATACCAATCCTAAAATAATTGTAATACACCAATTCTGCAGATAGTGTAAAATTTTGTGAGGTGTTCGTGTTTTTATTAGTTCTAAAGATTGATGTCAATAATTATTATTACCAAGTTGACAATGACTAGAACGCGAATTAACTAATTAATACTTTCAAAAAAAGTCCATAAAAAATTAATTAGAATATTACAATTGTTCTGTAAGTTCTGCTACCATTCCTTTTTTATCCTCAGATTCAACCGATTGTAATGCGAGCATCAAATCCCAAACCTGTTTTGCTTGCTCTCTACTAATAGTACCAAAAACAAAATTAAAGACTTCGTCATAATCTGCGACGGGAACACCTGTAAGTCCCTCCTTAATATTTTCAGGTAATTCTTCCCAATCGTTAGTATTAGCTTTCGGAAATATTAAGGTTGACACACTGGATCTCTTGGCTGCTACCGCTTTTTCCCGAATTCCACCAACCTTTAAAATTTTACCAGTAAGAGTGAGTTCACCAGTCATTGCTATAGTTGGATCTAAAGACTTAGATAGGGCAAGTGAAAGGAGTGATGTTGCCATGGTAATGCCGGCAGAGGGACCTATGCATTGTTTTTGATAATAACACACATAAACACAATGTATTAGAAAAAAATTTTTTTTGAATCATATAATAATAGTAAATTACATACCATCCTTTGGGGTTGCACCTTCAGGCACATGAAGGTGAATCGAAGCCCTTTCAAAAAATTTGTTTTCTGGATATTGTCGTACCATTAAACTTTAGCAAATGTATAAGCAATAGTA